AGTGTCCTGGGATCTCATTGACATCCATGGCCTAGGATTTAGCAAAGACCACTTGTTAGGAATGTCAACTAATATTCCCCACTCATTGTCTAGTTTAATAGTACTTAATATTTAATGTTGCTAAATCTTCCCAAAATTGGTGCATGTTATTTTATCTCTCACATACACTCTCTCATTTTCTTTCTCTCCAACTGAGTTGCAGCCATGCCACATTTTAATCCATTTTTCTTTCTTAAAGAGTAAAAGTTAGAGAGAAACTGGTGAAAGAGGAAAGTAGTCGTGGAAGCCCTGAACTTCTAGCAGACACTGTGTCACAAAGAAAGAATCGTCCAGTGCCTGTTAATTTTGTGTCTCTTCAGTCAGAAACATCTGCTTTCCATAGAGTGGCCAGTCAGCCGCTTGGTTTGGTCTGCCAACCAGTGCATGGCTACGTCCAGCCCGCTGGAATTGCTCATACGGCTAAGCTGGTGGCCTCTGAAGAACGAGAAAGCCATCCTGCTAGCAGCCACCCTGAGCCAGCTAACACCAGCTTCATAACTAGATTCTTGCCAGATGTGTCAATGGACAATGGAAAAACTGATTTGCCTCAGGCTCATGAACCAATGAAGCTCAGTTACTCCAGTTTGGAGACTGAGCAGGAGAGAAAGCCAGTTTTGCCTTCAGGTATCCATAGACAAGGGAAAAACAGGGAGAGCCAATCAAGAGAAGGCGATATTGAGAATCTTTCAGTGGGCAAAACAAAATCTGTGGAACCTGAGAGAGAGGTAGAGCACCTGAAGCAGCAGATGCCTGGAACTTTGACGAAGACTCGTGAGAACACTGAAAGGAGTGAAAGAGTCATGTATCTTCAAAGCACTAAAGGGAAAGTTCAAACTTCGGAAGAGATTCCAGTGAAGCACAAGATCCTTACTCGTTCCCTGTCTGATTATACTGGTTCTCCTAAATTAGAAGTTTTCAAAAGTAAAGAGCATGTTGCAAAGAATGCAGTGGAATTTCAGAGCACAGAAGGAAAAATCCCTAATGGTGAGATTGCCATGGTTGACACCAAAGTTTCTGTTGCCCAGCTCCGCAATGCCTTTTTGGAAACTGCCAATGCCAGCAAGAAACCTGAACTGTAGGTGATGTTTTCTGAATATTTTTTTAAATGGTGTGACACTTGCACGTCCTTGGCATAAATGGCACTCAAAACTCAACATCAGTTGCGTTCTGCTGCACTTCCAATACACAGTTCAACTCCCATCTAGTGCATCTTTGGTACGGAGTTGGCCTGAATTCTCTTGTTCATTTTGTGCTTCTGCTTGCTTTGTGCAAGTTCTGATGTTGGGAGGCTGGAATGGAATGACTTTGTACTTTTTCTGTGCATGGTTTTCTAGGAGCATGCAGAATGATCTGTGATGGACTGATTTGTTGGGATGCTTATATTTTTCCTACATTACTCTGTCTTTCTCTTTCTTCCCCTCCTGTCCCTTCCCACTTCTATCCTAATTCTTTGTTTCCTTTCTCCGTGCTTTTTATTATGGCAAAAAGTGAATCTCGTTTTGAGATGCCAACATCAGGTACTGATTTGTCTGGCAGTGCTGAACACGAAAGAGGGTCACGAAGGCCAAGACGCTATTTTTCTCCTGGGGAAAGTAGAAAGACTTCTGAGAGATTTAGGACTCAACCCATAACTTCAGCAGAGCGAAAGGAAACAGATAGGTAGGCATTTGTGTAGCTGAGCACCCTGGGGTAGCATTATCCAGACTGACATTTGATAGTAATAAAATCAGTCTACTTTCTCTGAGGTCTTACTTTTTTTAAATATATATATATATATTTATTGTAATTTACACATATATAAAATACACCATTCCAAATACATCCATTCTACATATTATAAACATACAAACATATTTGACATTCCACTTATTATAAACATACAAGCAAATTTAACATTTGTAATTATTCTATCTAATGCCTGCTTAATTGAAAATTACCCGATCTTGTTTAATGATACTGAACTGTCTCTTATTTATTTTCATCTTAAACCTTATCTGTCTCTTTCAACTCTTCTTTCTCAATGCCATCTCTCTTTGGTTGTATATTGGTATCTAGGTCCCTCTGAGGTCTTACTTTCAATGTAATGTAAATACTGCTCAGTTATGGTAACTGATGTGGCCAGTGTTAATTTTTCTAAAGGTCCAGTATTTACTCTGACGTGATAACAGCAGTTTGTCACTGATCCAAATGTATCTATAAGCACAAAAAGAGTGTTTTAAATGCTTTTGCTTTAAGGTGAGCTTCTTTTGAAAAAGGACAAGTTACAGACACTGAGCCCAAAGTCAGTGCTGTAACAACTAAAAAAGCATTTTATATGTTGACCTTTTTTAACTCTTATGACATCATTCTCCATGCAACTCATGCCTGGCTAGAACTGCTTGCCTTCTCAATTCAAGGGTCATCATAAACAAAATATTATTGGAACTTTAAAACTTTTCTGAATTGTAATCTCCTTGCTGTTCCTTCTGATGATTCAACTTAGAGACATAGAGATTTACTTTTGCTCTCCAGCTGATTTGCGTTTTCCTTTATATAATCTCTATAGGTCTGCATTTGGTCCAGAAATGCTACCTCCTGATGGTAAGAAGTTGCTTCTATCTGTACTTACTTGGTTATTTCAATTTTTCTGTCTTTTAATGGCCATTGGTAACACCCTGGCCAAAGTTAACGTTCTAGACTAGGGGTGAGCAAAGTGGCCACCAGAGACCACCAAAGGTAAAAAAATATTTTGCAGAATTGTTTTCCAAAATACTTTCTCCCCCCCACACACACCAACACAAATTGCCCCCAAAGCTCTTCAGGGAGGAGGCCTCCACCTTTTTTGGAGGCCCCTTGACCCCAGGGGTCAAACTTTTAAAAAACAAATATTTGCAAAATGTTTTAAACACTTTTTGCCCTAAAATTTGTGCTAGAGGATGAGAGGCATCAACAGCACATTTCAGGCCTACCCTGGGCCAATTAAGGCTCAAAAGATGCCTGTTTTGAAACAGAAAGTAAACAGGAAGTTATTTCCACTCACTTCCTTTTAAAAAAAACATTTCCTGGGCCTAAAGTTGCCCAAGAAGACCCCCAAACATGGTGCAAATGTTCTCCATATCCCTCCTAAATGACATGGGGAGGGATTCTTTGTAAGAGTGGATTTGGTGAGACTGGTCCTCCAAGGTCTTCTGGGGGGCTAATGCGGCCCCCTACTGTTCCATGGTTGCTACTCTTACTCTAGACAATACAACGTGACATCATTTATACAGACTCTGCTTCCCTT